GAGTATATTTTAAAATAAATAGGATTATGACCATAATTGAACTACTGAATTAGGTGCTCAAACCTCTTAGAGTGGAAGTATTGAATTAAGGAAGACTTTTTTCATTAGAAATGGTTTCAGTTTATTTAAAAAAATGCGTCAAAAACGGCACAAAAACTTTAATACTTGTTAATTAAAAACACAATTTTTTGAAATTTTTTCTGAATAGAGTTTTCAATGATTTTGAATTGCAAAACGTCAAGTGCAACCCTATCTTTGCCCAGTTTTGTTTGTAGTAAAATTAAGTTTTCATTTTGAAATTTCCCTGGAATTGTTCAAATTTGAAAACAACTCATCAAAAAATTGCCATACACCAAGAAAGTCTAAAAGATTTTGAATTCAAAATAGTTTCTGAACCAATCTTGATCTGGAGAGTGTTTTCTTAGTTTTTTTGAGAGCAGAAGATTATCATAAGAAAAAAGATGAATTTTGAACTACGGAATTGCACAAAATTTTTGGGTCGGAATTAAATAGAGTCAGTTTTCATTTGACAAAGTTTCAGTCAAAACTCATTAATACAATCAAAAAGATCAAAAAACAGTAGAAAAGCTAATTAAACACAAAGTTTCGAGCAATTTGTCTGAGTCAGTTATTAAATAATGCTGAATTGCAAAACAACACTAAAATAGCTGATAGAACACATAGAATATCGAATATTTCGTCTAATTTCAGTCAAGGATGCTGAAACTCAAAGCTTAAGTTCAATTCAATTTTGAATAACTTTTTGTCCAATTTTGTTTTTCGGGAAAAAATTCAATCTTTTTCAAGCTTTATGGAATTTTTTTTAAGAGCAACTATATATAAATTTGTCTGCAACACGAAAAAATTAAAATTGGCTTTTAAACTAATCTTGAATCTTAGTTTGGCCAGTGTTTTTTCTACAAGTCTTTTGAGAGCAGAAACTTAGGACTAGGAAAACGATCAGTATTGAACTACAAAATTGCACAAAGTTATTGGGTCGGAAATTTATAGAGTCAGTTTTCATCAGACAAAGTTTCAGTAAAAACCTTATAATGCAATCAAAAAGGCCGAAAAACGAAATGGCTAATTGAACACATGAATTATCGAACTTTTTATCTGAGTCAGTTTTTTAATAATGCTGAATTGAAAAATTTTAAGTTCACTTCAATATTGAATAATTTTTTCTATCCATTTTTTTGAAAAAAAAAGCTTCAAATTTTGAAAGCAACTAATCCTAGCTTTGTCAGCACTAAGGAAAAACAAAAATTTTCAAATTCAAATTGGCTTTAAACCTAGTCTTGATCTGGCCAGTGTTTTTTAACAGATCTTTTGAGTGCAAAAAAAAGATCAGTATTGTATTGAACTACGATATTGCACAAAATTATCGGGCCGGAACAGCGACTTTTTATTGGACGAGGTTTCAGTCAAAAAACATCTGTTGCAATCAAAAAGGCCAAAAACGCTAGAAACAGCTAATTGAACACACAGATAATAAAAATACTTGCCTAAATCACTTTTTCAAGGATGATGAATTGCAGAATTTTAAGTTCAAATAATTTTTGAATAATTTTTTCTGTACATTTTCATTTTTGGGAAAAAGAAGTTTCAAGTTTTTGAAAATTTCTGGGAAGCTCAAAATATTGAGGGCTTTAAAAGTTTTTAATGTCAAATTGGTTTCAAACCTAATCTTGATCAGGCCAGTGTTTTTCAAATATCTTTTGAGAGCAGATAATTGCGAGTATGAATAAGACCAATATTAAACAACGGAACATAACAGAAATCTTGAGCGGGAAATGTAAAACAGGACTTGTTTATTGTCAAAACTCAAATGTGGCAATGAAAAAGGGTTAAAAAAGTAAAACTATTTTAATCATAGAATGTCAAGTGTTTTTTCTGAATCAATTTGTTTGGTGATCTTGTATTTCAAAAAATCAAATTTAATTCAATTTCGAATAATTTTTTTGTTAATTATCTTTTTTGGGAAATTACTGTATTTTTGCTTGATTATAATTATATCTTGCGGTCTACATTCTAAAATTTTCTGTATAAATGCAATAGTTTAAAAGCCATCAGTACAAAAAATTAAAGGACGGTTGCTCAAAAGTGGAAACGTAGAAGTATTAGCGAAGCGAATTACATTCTCGTCTTCTAAACGTAAGGAAAATCATAAAACCATTTTTTGGAGGTACTCTTAAGTTTCTGCTTTTTTAAGTGCTTCCTTTAAAAAAAATGGCGATAGAGTTGATAAATTTTCACATTTTTATTAAAAACTCGGTGATTAGAGGTACTGCTTGATCCGAGCGCATTGCTCTAGCGTGAGCCAGACATAAAAGACAAAGTTTAATAATTATTTTTATAATGTTTCATTGGTTCTCTAAATTTTCACTTATATAAGCAAACAAAATATGTTTTTTCACAGTGCTAAATTACCAAGCTCGAAAAGCAATTGCAATGAAATTAGACATTACGAGGCCAAACTGTAGACTGGATAGGCGAACAATTTTTTGTCTGTATGTTTCTAGATTCCAGAGACAAGTCTTTAAAAATGTTAATTTTCTGTCGGAACGATCAAAGAGAATGAAAGAACAAAAAAAGATTAGAAGGAGCGTGCTTGTGGCGGAATCCGCTCAAAATTCACAAAATATACAGTTTAGCCTTGTAATGGAGAAAATTAAATGATTTTTGGCACTTTGCACTTTCCCCCGCCTTTCATTTACATTTTTTTATCATATAATGTTGCGATTTAGTCATAATTCAGTGACACTTGGCACGGTGAACAAAATAAATTAACATTTGTGAAAGGTGGAGGGGGTGGAAAGCTTGAAATGCGCGATACGAAGTTAATCATGCTTTAAATTCCAGTTTTGATCTTATCAAATTTGGTTTTCATCTGAGGTGTTTTATGATTTAGACTACCTCCACCTCCCAACCTCACATAAGCGTCAATTTTGGGGTGCAATTATTTTTGAACAATGTAGTTGGAAACGAGTGATAAATTTGCTTAATAACTCAACATTATAATCAGAAAAATAAACAAATGTGTATAGTTATATTTTTCCGATAAGTGAGGATGGTTGGCGGCTAAACTTGAATTTAAAAAATTTGTTTTTAGTACAGAGAAAAGTTCGGATCCGGTTCAAATTCATTGTACGCTTTATCTGAGAAATATTTGGATAGAATAAAAAACGAAACATTCCATGCCACAAAAGAAATCGGAAAAATTGTTCTGCAGATTCTATCGAGGCTATCCACAGTCGATATCAGATCCGAGTTGCCATTCAGATCATTTAATTCTACGTCTTTTGGAACTGAATGTTCCGAAGGGTGCTCTGGATGCCTGCAATTAACAACGTGAGCAGATGATCCCTAGAACAGAAGAAGTCATTTTACCTTGTTTTTTTTCTGCGTTGCCAATCTGAATGTAGCTGTCAGTATTAGCATAACAAAAATGTAATAAACTGAGAATTCAGAGTACTAAACTTGCTGGACAGTACCATGACGTGCAATTATCCCGAATTTAATTTTTTATTAATTTTATTTATAGGAAGCTTAAACGCTAGCAAAAGTTAAAGTTTAAAGTTACATGGCAGCAGAACTTCAATTAGGATGCTCACATTTTCTGGTTTAATTCCCGATGCTCCGTCATCTTCATTGTTTCCAAATGTCATCAGCTTAAATCGTTTTGGATTTTTCCTTGCCAACACTTTCTTCATTACACAAGAAGCCATTAGTGTCTCGACCAAAGAAGCCACATTCAACATGAAATTCACGATGAGATAAGCATCGATAATCTAAAATCAAATTTGTTTAAAGTAGTCCGTGTTAGCCTTCTTTAGAAAATTAGCATTGCTAATGCTCAAAACAACGACAAACATCTTTGAATTAGCGTTTTCTGCTTCGAATATAGCAAATGATATCCTTAAAATGCTATAAATTAGCGCTGAAAGAATTTTTTTCCGATAAATTTGCTATAAATTAGTGCTCTCTTTCAATATATCAAAGCAACGAGTTTAAAGCCTATTCTGGCACCAAAAAAAATCAAGGCTGGCTGGCTAGCAGTAAAACGAAAACTCTAGATTCGTAGCTCTAATTTCTAATGAATTATCAATGGAAAATTGCTAATTTATTGAAGATTTTGCAATTCAACATTCTCTGAATTTTCAATGAGAAAGCGATGAAAAGTATTTTTCAATTTCAGCCTTCTTGATTGACCAACATCAACCCAAAAAGCCAGTCTAATAATTTGAAACATTCTTCTATGCAAAAATTCTATGATGATTGTATGAATAGCATTTTTAGGAAGAACAAAAAAATATCCAATATATTCAAGAACTCATCAAATAAACAATAAAAAATTTTTGTGAGGCGAAAACAACTTTGTACATAGAAACCGTTTATCAAAAAACTAAAATATATAATTTGCATGCAAATTAACTTTTTGTTGTTTAAATTTGTAGTCAACTGGCTCGGAAATTTAAAAAAAAAATCTTTTTTTTTCAAGCTTTGTTTTTCGGATTCACCGGAACTTGTTTTTGAAATGGGTTGCGTGCTCTTCATTTTTCAAAATTTAGTACTTTTTGCGATCGGCTGCAAAAAATTGTAGCCTAATTTTTTGGCGCCAATCGTTGGAAGCTTAGTGCTACTTTATTGCTCAAGAATTAAATTATAATTTTTGACTTAATCTCTTAATGCAGTTTTTGTTTTGTACATGCGAAATAAAGGACCAGAGCATTCTTTCATTAAATTAACTAGCTTTTTACGATAAGTTATGAAAAAAAAACGTGATTTTTTTAATTTTTTGCTGTGTGCTTGTGTTTGTTTTCAGTTACAGCACACAAGTTATTGACAAAAATTTGATCTATTTTCTGAAAAAAAAGTTGCAACAAAAAAAAACATTTGCTTCTTTTCGAAGCTTGTTTTGAGGCAATTCAACCTTAAGTTTTCGTTCTTCCAAAAAAAGTTATTCCAAAAAAAGTCATTCAATCGTAATCATAGTTTTTTTTTCATAGAAAAAACGTGCACTTGTAAGACAGGCAGATTTGTTATTTTGAGTTCAGCCCAATTAAATGAGCAGTATGTTTTGTACCTTAAATTCGGTCGACTGGGGAAACCCTTGCTCCTCGCCAACGATGAGGATGACCTGTGCCAAGATGAGAGCGATGCAGATACTGGCTCTCTCGGGTAGAGCTGATGGCTCTATCCACAGTACAACCCAGCTGTGCCAAAAATAAAAATAAAATTAAAAGACCTGATTCATTGGTGCACCCCATGACACACTGTTTTAGTATGGCGCACAAACAAAACTCTGCTTAAAAATTAGCAAATTGTCGTCTAGTAGAAGCAAATTGTCGTCTAAACCTTGAAGTGGAAAATTAATCAGCAATTGAAGGATTAGCTATCTCAGCTTTTTGCATTTATTTGCAACAATTATGAAAAAACTTGTTTCCACTGGTTGTAGCTCCGTGACGAAGGGTAGAAATGCTGAAAAAGGTTCAACCAATTCGAATCACTATACGTTCTTATAGGCTAATTGATTTTTGCACAGAAATGATATCATTATTATCAGAAAATATAGATAGCAGCACATCAAAATATGCTGAACAATCCGTGCATAAACACAATGGAATTTTTGTTTTCCTTGTCATCCTTTTGTAAAATTGGTGTTTTTGAAGCAATGTATATTTTTCAATTACCCGATTTTGCTTTCGCAATTTTAACAAAAGCGTATCTGCTTATTATATAATCAGTCAGTACTACAATTGCCTGGATACTTAGAGCTTTGTTCGAGATTTTCGAATTATCATTTCTTTCATAACTTTCCAGCATTCTCGTTTTCCATCAAAATGGATGCCACTATTTTCAGCAATTTATCTGAAAAAAAATGCATGTTCTGAAAACTTAATCTGCAAAATAGCAGAAAAGTAAGCAAAATTGATCTGAAAGATTCTTAAAGAAAAACTATTATAGAAAGTTTTTGCAGAGATCTTGACAAAACAACCAACCCTAATTTTCCCTGAAAGTTAATTTCACCATTTCAGATAAACTTTTTACGGTGCGTAAAAATCAGTTATGCTCAAGAACTCAATAAAAAACCTCAATATCGTAATCACACTTTTTGTTGGTATATAATAATAGAGTGATTTTGAACAATATGCCATAGTTCAACATAGAAGCAACCAACAAGTGTCAGCCAGGATTTCAAAATGGGTGAGACCTAGCATTGAGTGAAGTCTATGTTGTGGACAATGTGGTCAACAATTTTTTTCTAGCCTGTTTTAATGACATCATTCTAGAATGAATCACTTTTATTCATCCACGGTTTAACAACAAGCAAACTTCTGCAGATATGTCTAAGTTTAGTTTGAAAACTGTTGAAAATGAACCACCGAGCAGTGTCAAAACAAAGTGACGCTGAAGGCTGAAAAAAATTTGAAGGCAAAGCGTAAACTTGTTGAAGACATTGTTACCATCTAGTATCTAACAAGTGCAAAGTCTACATTCATCATAACCAACAAAAAATTAACATGCTCTAAAACAAAAACGCTTAAAACAGTAAACAAAAACTCTAAAACTGACCCTCCAAAACTGAGAAGAAACGCTTTTTGTTCTATTTTTTCCAAAAAAGCGGTCAGTTTGATGAGTAAAAAGTGTGGTATTTTTCAGAAAAAAGAACACATTTTCTGTACATTAACGTAGATGCCATGATGGTTTTCCAGAAGTCGAAGTATACTGATTCTTTAAAGCTCGCTTTTTGTTGTTTTATGTGAAGGTGGACATTTGAAATAGGAATCAGTTGTAATTGCAAGCAATACATGATTATCAGACTATCTTTACTGAAAGTAGGGTTTGTAAAAACAAAGAGAGTTGTTTGTTTTGCAAGAAAAGTGTCAAAAAGTAGTAAATGATATTGAAAACTTTCAGAAAAATAACAGACACACAAAATTTGTTGAGCCTAGATCTTGAAGTTTAAAATTTAGGCAACTTCATTCATCAGTTAACTATTGAAATTTACAGTGACCATTTGGCTGATTCAGGACTCTGCTGAAAATCACACAAATATTAAATACCTCGATCAAGCCTGTTTGAAAACATTTTTACATTATAAAGTCAAAATAATATTAATGAAAACAACTCGCCTCATCGACTTTTAATCTGGATCCTCAGTTCGAACTGAAACGTTCAACAAATTATCATGATATTAGTTGTTATATTAAATACAAATACAGCGTGCAATCTGGAATGGAAACCCAATATCATTTTTCGCAATATCATGAATTCGACAAACAGATCATGAAAAAAGATAAACTTTAGTATGTCACAAAGGTGATCGAACAAAATTCGAGAAAATTGATGCAAAAACCAGTGCTCTGTAATAAATCGACTAAATGAAAACAACGCAAAAATTGATAAAAAACCAGTTCAGAAAGCAATTCAAAATTTTTTACGGCGCTGATATTTATTCAAGAAAAATTTCGACTTCAGATTTTAAAAGATACGTTAAAAAACTCGAAAGTTTATTAGGCGAATAAACTATGGACTGGCAATTAGAAGCTTTCATAATTTCAATTATGCAAAACTAGACCTATATGAAACAATTTGTTTGTTAATAAATCAACTCCAGTAGAATAAAAAGAAATTTACAAATCAAAAAATCTAGATGCCACGAAGTCAGCAGTTACAAAATTTAACAAATTTAGGGACCTGAAAATTCTGTGTTTTTTAATTCTTCTTCAGCCAATTGTTTAGTTTCTGATGTTTTAAACGATAGCTGTAAAGTTAGAAAAACACAACCAGAAAACAGATAAAATTTATTATATTTAGACCCTTAAATTAACTAGGTTAGTTGATCAATACTTTTGAAAAATCAAACCCAACCAAAAAAATATCAATAGTTTAGAATTATTAAGTTTTTATCTCGATTTTCCGTTGATGTAAATGAGAAAATTTTTGACACAGTCGATCAATCAATTCAGAACTCGTTAAAAAAAATTAGCCATTCCTGCAACCCAACTTAAGTAACTGGAGACAAGACAATAAATCTCAATTTTTGAAAAGTTCTATAATTTGGATTCCTTGTTATGTTCTATGTTCTATGTCAATGACATTTGCAGCCTTGCAGGAGGAAAGTATAATTTGCTTATAATACAAAAAAAAAGAAACGCCTGACACTCCGGATACCTGTGTAATCACGATAATTTAAATGGATTATACTTTTAAAAGTTGTACACAAAACCGACTAACTATCAATTTTTACAGAGTGCAAACTTCTAAAGCCAAAATGATTACACATAAGTAATTTTCAGGGTGTAATCCCATATACGTGAAGGACCCTAATGCGCGAAATTAAAAATCAGCTAATCAGATTTCATTAATCCAAAATTTGGAAAGAAAGTAAACATTTCCAGGGACTGAAAATTGATATTGGCCGAATATAAAAATGGCAGTAAAATGCAAAATATTCAAATTGTCACTACTGACCTCCGCCGAATTGGAACAATTTTATATTTCAAAGATTTTGTTGTGAAACAAGCAAAATGTTGCTTCATTTAATTAATTTAAATTGAATGACAATTGCTTCTTTTCAAAAATTGACTTTCGACTGTATTCGGTCTTTCAAACAGGAGTTTTTTGCGCATTCGGTCCTTCGCTCATTCCGTTATTCTCGCATGAGAATAGTCCCCATTTTTAGGGAACAGATAATTTATTGTTGCCTGCTGTTTCAAGTATTTGGGAGTTCTTATAGAAAATTAACTCCCTTTGAAAAAGATGGTTGATAGTTGAGAACAAATTTTTCTGTTATTTAAAAAGACTAAAAATTTGAAATCTGCTATTGGAAACTATTTTGAAGCTATATTTTTTTCGAAATGTGTTTCATTGAAGCCAGTTTTGACTAACCTTAAAGTAGTGAGGACTGTATTTGGGACAAAAAGAGTTAGCGTATAATACGCTGGGTTTCGGCTGAATCGTAAAAACAATGCATGTTCCATGTACTTTGTGTACTCGACAATAGCAGCGACCTCGCATTTGTGATCCCTAGAGTAATTTAGGTTGTCAAACTGTAAGTTCCCGATGATTTGATCAGGTCTCATAGTGAACCGTTGCTCAAAATTCTTCAACATAAGGCCCAAGTCGATGTCAATTTTGTACGCAGCAATCATTATCTAAACCACAAAAAAGTTGGTTTCGCAGAAGAGTTTTTCTTGAATTTAAGAAAAATTTTGTTGGTTGGAGAAAATGGTGATATAATTGTATTTGAAGTGGTTTCGTCAGACATTTTTTAATCAGGAACTTTCAAAAATTTTTCAACAGTCTGAACCACATGGATTACTGGGCTCAAAGTTGAAACGACATTGTCTTGTTTTTCGCAAAAAATATCAGTTTGAGACTAATTTGACAACTGCATTTCAGAATGGGTTAAAAAAACTCATTTTTAAATGCATGTACTTTTTTTACTATAGTGAAAGTTGAAAAACAGCTCAATCGGAATTAAATTGATACAAGCATTTTTCTTCACTAGCTACAAGACACATAATGTGTCACTGCAGTGGCCAAACACAGCAGAATGTTTTCTCGAGTTTAGAGGCTAGTCAGAACTTTTGATGATTTGCCTTAATCCGAGCAAGTTTTTTTTTAATTAAAGCCGACGTCAAGTTTCACTCATTCAATTGCACAACAAATCGTTGTACGAGAAAAATTTAGAAAAACAATAAAAAACGTTTTTCAAATTTGTTGTGCGAAAAACTGGACTACAAACAAAATACTTGAAAACTGAATGAGAAGTCAATTCATATAGATACTTTTGTGTCATGTATATTGAAATTTAGAAATAAGCTAAGAGAAAAACATACTAATTATTGCAACTGCAGTTTCTTATATTCAAAAACCAAGATATTTTGGGAATCAGCAAACTTAACTGACAAGCTTCAATACTGGTCACATTTAATCGTTTTATCGCTCCTAATAGTACAATTTTTTATTTGAAGACAAAACTGCATATTTTCATTGCAAAATTTTGATTAAAAACGTCCTAATCAATAACAAAAAACGTGAATTTTGGTTTTTCTGACAAAATAACAGAAAATTTTCTACAAAAATCAGCAATTACCACACATTTATGTCAATCAAAAGGGAAATACATCAAGTCCATGTCGCACGTGAAAGTATACCGTCCAAATTTAGACATCCTAACTGTGCCATCTGTACCAATTAACACTTTACTGCTTGCTTCTGATTCTTCAACTGAGACCAGTGGGTCAAATTTGATGTTCGGGTGCCAGATGTCGTTAAGAATGCTAGAGTCAGAATCTATAGCAGAAGAACGGGTCCAGCGGTCTTGTCTGATATACAGTGGCAGGCGAGCATCGTTCCAAGTGGCCTACAAAACAGTTCGATAGTTTTATTTCAAACAATGAAGTTTGTTCAGGATTGTGACGCTAGCAGTTCCAGGAAAATAAGAAAATTAATGAATAAGTTTTTGAATACAACAAAGCCCTCGAATAAACAATTTTGAAAATTGAATTTTTTTTTATTACATAAACTGTAGATCCACTATCCACAAACACACAAACTACCATTCACTAAGTAAAAATTACCAATAAATTTAATGTGGAATCTAATTGAATTTTGCAAATAAACAACCATACCGTCACAGATGCATCAAACGAGAATATTTTCTCAATCTCAGAAACAGTCCGCATCTTTTGAATGTGGAATCCAAACGTCAATCTAGGTTTGTACGGCTGGAAATATTTATTATACGGAGCCTCGTAATCCGGAGAAATGGTCGTGAAGTTCCAGTCGGGTGGATACCTTTGAACCGCCCTTCTGCTATGGTTGCTTTATTGGTAATCGGAGTTTGAGACATTTTCTGATTAACAAGTAAATACGAATCACCAAAGGAAAAAATTGTTTTCAAAATAAACAAAATCAGATACATTTTTTTTTGAAATGGTACGCAAATTAGTAATAAGTTGTATATGAAACGTAGATCAAAAGTAAAGAGTTTCAAACTCTAAATCATTAGCAATTGCAAACATAAAGACGAAAAAATTTGAAGTAAATGTATTTGCAGCTCTCTGTTAGATAATGTAATAATCTACCACTCGTTGAGTTTCTTACTTACAAAAGTAACTAAAATTTCATTATCAGGTTTAATTTCAGATCAAAATATTGATGTTCACAGTTGTTCGAGCAATCATTTTTTTGTTCAAATTAGAGAACTCAAAAGATAATAGTTCAATAGTATAATCTATTACGAACAAACAAATTACTCCACACTCTCCCTACCGAGTAAATCCTCCCCTTAAAACGATTCAGCGCAAAAAATTTCCAAATTTTTTGTTGTTTGAAAACATGTCAAAGCAACTTTTTTCGGTTTTGATCTGACCAAGGGAACAATTTTTGTCAAACAAAATTTGCTTTCATTTGCCTTCTTCAATATTCAGGAAGCTAAGTCTTATCTGTAAATAATAACAACTATCAAGACTGTTTATTAATTCCAAGCTGGCTTTTCTGGGTAATAACTGAAAAATTTGGAATTGCTTAATAACACTTCTGCAAAATATCTAGGTTGTACGAACTCTGGAAAAACATATTTCAGCATTTCTGGTTTACAAAAAAAGTATTTTAATTCCTGAGGGAAATTCAATTTCATTGATATTTTTCTAGGCTCCAAATTTAATTTCTTTCCTGTACCCACAGTCAGGGACCGATCTAGGTTTTTCTCAATGGGAAGGGGCGGATCATCAAAAAAGTTCGAAAAATTTGTCGATTTTTTTTGTTTGATTTTCCGAGCTCTCCCAAACCACTTAAAAGACACTTTTTTGGCCACGCCGCAAGCAAAATAGTGGGAAAATAAGCCAAAAACGAAAAATTTGGAAAATTTTTATCAAAAATCGCGCTTTTCTTGGTTAAAAAATGGATATCTCAAATTAGTACAAAGGGGGAACCTTTTGAATTAGCAGGGGGTCGTCTGAATATCACCCCCCTAAAGCGGCCCATGCGCACTGTAGAGTTTCATGGATAATGAAAGGTTATTTTAGTTTCTTCTTTGAGAGTCTCCACTAAAATCAGACTGAATCAATCATAATGGCATTAAAATGGACTATTAACGTACTTTTTTTCAAGATGAAGAAATATAATCGTATATAAAACATTGTAAAAACATCTAAATTTTGTCGAAAGCTCAACCATTTTTGTCCCCCAATTTCGGGGCAAGCAGGCGTAAAACATTTTCTAAATCTTTGTCGAGCTTTTTAGGGCCGACCAAAAATAATTTTTCGAGCAATCCCAGAACAGTATAAGGAACAAAAGGACAAATCTTTGAAAAACAGTTCAAAAAATTTTTGAAACATTTATGGGAGTTTTTGACAAAAAAAAGCGTTTTTACGGCGCGCGCTCCCTTCAAAAATAGTTTATATTGGCATGTCATAAAATATTATCAAAGGGTACTCTTTGGTTGCTGAGGGGATCAAATCCCTAAGAAGAGGAGGTCCTAGACTACCACTCGCCTTTTTCCCCGGCCCTAAATCCGCCACACAATTCCAGCTTTTTCAATATCGTACTTTTTGTTGAGTTTCAGATCTGAATTCTTTCATTTCATATATGTTTCTACGTTTTTTCATTTATTTTGCGAATGCAGTTTTTTGAATCGCTCAAAAATTGTTTTTTTTTTAGTTTTTGAATTGCATAAAAATTGAATAACAATTCTTTCGAAAAATAATTGTTAAATAATTGAAGAATCATTAAAAAAATTGAAAAATAAATATTCGTTTTTTTGAATTGCACAAAAACATTGAACAATACTTATTCCAGTTTTAGTATTTTGGAGACGTGACAATCAAAATTAAAGAATTGTTTGTTGCGGTCTAGACTAGTTTATTTCTTTAATTTTTCTATATGTTCTGCTTGATAAAAATTATTTTTTTAAAAAAAGATTGCTCTTCTATCAGGGCAAAACCCTTGACGTTCTGACTGCCCCGCAAACTACATCGATTAGATTTTTGGGAAAAAATATTGAAAAACTGTCAACAAAATCAAAAATCAAGTTTGAAAACTTGAGTCGTACAAAATTAATACGACCGACTAGCTAGCCTCAATTCCATTTGGATAATTTTTTATTTTGTGGGATAATTCGCCATGCATAAATAATTCGCGTTACCCTTTCAGCATTATGGATAAAATACTCAAAGTGTGCATAAACTAGTCCAGTTCATAGACAAATTGGCAATCTTCAAGCTCCCAAAACTTGAGCAAAAATTGATCAGAGGTAGAATATTTTTTAAATTTGATTCAGAGAGTTTCCTCAAAGGGGCATAATTTTTTTATCTGTAACTTTGATCGCCGAAAAATGACTGAGTTGAAAAACTACACCAAATATAAATATTCCGCTTTCTTCAGGCCAGAACAAAAAATACAGCTGAGAATATTTGCTTATTAGAGAAGCAATTTTTCAGTTTGAAAAAGCCAAATTGTCTATTGCAATACAAATGGTAGCCGCAATAATAACTGTTCTCAAGCAGTGAGTGGTTTAGGTTTATTTTGATGGGTTGCAGCATCATTTTTGACTAAATAATTCTCAATTGTTTTGTAAGTCAAGTTTGCTTGCCATAATTTGAAAGAAATCAAGTTCAAAAACCACCTTTTTCAAAAGCTACCTTCCATATGAATTTTGAAGATTGCTTTCATTGAAAACTAAATGTTCGGAAAAAAATACAATTTGAATTTTTAAACCGCTTTTTTTTTTAATTGTTTTCAAATTTCTGTAAGTTCAAATGTTTGGAAAGAATGACAATTTGAAATTTTAATCCAATTTATTTTCAAATATATGTGAAAATTATGAAAAACAATTATATTTTTAAATCACAAGCTGTTGCAAACTCTTTGTAAAATTAGTTTGGACAAAAATTTAGTGTTTTTGAGAAGAGAAAAGGGATTAAAATCACTGACGAGTTGAAGATGCACGTATCACTCACAAGCGACATAACATCAAAAAATAGCGCAATAAATTAAAAAACTGTAAACTGCAAACAATAATCCACTCTAAGAATTTGACAATCTTTCAGCTACTTCGATAACATGAATTTAATAACACACATTGGTTGCATATGGAAACTACTGTAGCTGATATTTTTTTTCAGTTCAGCTTGTAATGTTTATT